TTTCATAGTGGTCCTTCGGGATAAATTTCATAGCCCCTAGTGAGACCCCATACGAGCTATGGTGACATCATAGTGCACAACCACAATAGACTCACATATCTATAGTTCTCACAAATGTACATGGGCTAGCAAAGAGATAACAATAAATATATATATATTACATGTAAAGTATATATTTTTGTGACATGAATTGTATTATATGATATATGAGATGATGTGTGTATATTGCTTGATTAATTGAATCATATGTGGCTTAAAAGAATGAATATATGAGTATATGATTATGAGACATAAATGATAAGAATATGGATAGTGGAATAAGGTTCGTAATGGAAATAGTGTGAGATATGTATATGTGTATATTACATTGTATGTAATGTTAAATTGCTTTGGTATGACATCATGAGATGATGTGTTCCTACATGTTTAAATAATTAAAGTTCTTTTATAAATGTAATGTCTCACTAAGTCATAGACTTAGCGTGTGATTGTTTCGTACGTAGGTTACAAAAGTGAGAAGAGTAAAAAGCAATGTGGAGCAAGACATGTCAGTTCTCCTTACCGAAAGTCAGATCAGAAGAAAGGTGAATAATATGGATTTTAATATATAAAGTTTTAGTTGGCATGTATTCAAAATAATATATTGTATAAGCTCTGAATAGTTCTGTAAATGTTTTGAATAAGTTATATGTTATAAAAATTTTAAAGTATAAAAGTTTTGAAAAGTCAATGTGACACCTCATACTCAGATCCAGGTCGGATACGGGTTGGGGTGTTACATAGAACATTTTGAAAATTTGGTATGATTATTGATTTCTATATGGAGAATAGAATTTTGAGGTTTAAGATGAAATAGATGGATATAAATTAGTTTAAGTATGTATATTTGAGTTAAGAATAGAAAAGAGAATGAACCATGAAGAATTTAAGTTGATATAGTGAATTTTCGTGCATGAACAGTGATTTTATGGGTTTGAACGAAAATTCCAGATTATGCAAGGGGTACAGATTCCCCTTAAAGAAAAAAATATGGAATTTTGGGCTTAAGTTATTAACATCAAGTGTAATGTTTAGGCTTCTGATAATTGTTTTGAAATGTTATATTTATGTAGATATTGAGCCTAAACAAGTTCTGGAATAATCAAAGGATTAGGATCGAATCAAAGCAAGGCTAATGTGAGTGCAATTTAATTGTACTTGTGTTATCGAAAAACATTGGCTTGCGATGAGCCAGCGATGGAGTTAATATGGTAAGAAGTGACTCCTAAAAATGTTATATGATTGATATGATTCTTATGAGTGCATTTTAGTTTATAGGATTTTAAGGAATTGGACTTGTGATAAGTCTATTTCCAATAGTTATAGTGTATGGAGTATTGATTATAAGGATATAGAGAATGAAATGAATGACATGAAAACATATGTATGCTTGATTATATGAGTGGATATGTTCTTATAAATGCTATGTGGCTTATGTAAATAAATGGAAAGGTGAATGATATAATAAGAAGCTATGTGATAAGAAGATACTGGTTTATATGATATAAAAGTGTATATGTGAAATAACATATGATAGATGATAAAACCGTGATATGAATATGTGATATGAATGTGATATATGTGAAGCATATGAGAAAAATATATGACAATGATTTACATGTTATATGAACACAAGAAAAGTGTTGTAAGCTAAGTGAAATATGATTATGAAATCATATGAAAATTGAAATGTACATGTGAATATATGAAATGATATAAATGATAATGCCCATGTTATGTGATATGAGAGTTAGTGGTATAGTTGGCATGGCAAGAGTCGAGGGATATACAGTGGTCCTTCGGGACATAGTGGTCATTCGGGATAAATATTCAGTGCCCCTAGTGGGAATTTATACGAGTTGTGGTGACAGCTTTAGTGCACAACCTCAATGTACTCACATACCTTCAGTTCTCAACAGTGTACATGGGCTAATAAAGAAATTAAATAAATATACTGAATGTGATATGTATATGTGATTTGTTACATGGAATAAATTACATGATTCATGTATTGGTTATATGAAAAGATATATGTTTTTATTTATATGAACTGTATTACGTGAATTATATGATGTTAAGTGTATTTCTTTATGAAATGATATATGATGGGTATAAATTATAAGTATATGATGATATGAATTAATGATAATAATAGGATAATGATAAGGAAGAAGATAATCATATATGCACATGTGTGGATTTGATATATGAATAGAAATATGATGGTATATGTGCATGTATGCCTTTTGTTTATATGAAATTGTATATAGTTATATTATATGTTTTATATGTCTCACTAAGTCATCGACTTAGCGTGTGATTGTTTTACACGTAGGTTTTGAAAGAGAAAAGAGAAGTAAAGAGGAACAAGACAGGTCAGTTCTCCTTACTGAAGATCATATCAGAAATGTAGTTGAATTACATGTATTTGGTTATATAGAATTTAGTTGGCATGTAATATAAAAGATTTGAATCCGATATGTTTTATATGGTTTTTTAAAATCATATGATTGAATTTTATAATGTTTGGAATGTGTATATGTAAATGGAAATTTTATACGGATGAAACCTCATATTTTTATAAATTTATACGCATTTTACGGAAGTACTGTAGTAGTACTGTAGCAGGGTATCGATTCCCTGTAGTAGGGGAATCGGTTCCCCTCTTTGAGGAAATTTTTAACATTCAGGTACTGTAGCAGGTAGTATTCATCACTGTTCATTACTGTTCATACGGTATTGTTCATACCGTATTTTACTCAAAATTTTATACGAAACACAATTCAACAATATATGATCGTATTTTCTTAAAATTCAAATGTTTTGATATTTTGCAAGAATATTGTTTTTAAAAGTCAATGTGACATCTTAGACTCGTATCTGGGTCGGGTACAGGTTGAGGTGTTACAAGGAGAATATGGTTAGTCTGTGTGTTTTGCGACTGAGTTGTTGTAAAAGTTTTGGTTCTTGTACCGACATTGTTTCGGTGTTCTCTTTTTCCTCTATTTAAGTATAAGGAGACTTTTTAACGAGCCCCATCTCGATGTCCTGTTTTTATGATTCGATTTTAGTCATATAAAACACCCATTTCAAAAAAAATCTATCTTCTCATTCCTATTTTGGCCACTAAAGTTTAATTTTTTTTAATTTAACTACTCACCTTTCAAATTGCTCATGTTTTTATCACTCTAATTTATTTTATTAACAATTTATTTGACATGAATTTTCTTTTTATTATTTTATTAATATATAATTAAAAAACAAAAATTAAATTTGAAAGTTAGAGTAATTAAATTTGGAGTAATTTGAAATTTAAGTGATTAAATTAAAAAAAAAACTTTAGTGACCAAAATAGAAGTGAGAAGATAGTTGAGTGATGAATGATGTAATTTACCCATGAAAAAATGTCAGTTTGTAATAGTTTCATTAATTTTTTAACGATGAGACACCAAAATAAAATAAAACAAAAATATTAAGTATGCTTTTGAAACAAACGAAAGTTTAGGTACTAAAATGAAACAAGACTGATAGTTTAGGTATTAAACATGTAGTTTACTCATATTTATAATATTATGGTACTATTTGATTCTAATTTAAACAATTTACTATAATTATATACAATACATATATATTTCTTCATATATTTTGCATATGTGATATACATATATCATAAAGAATTGAAGGGCTTGACTTAAACTTAAAAACCAATTTATTAATTACAAATAAGATCAAGTTATTAGATTCTATTTTATAAATTCGAGTCAAATTTATAAAATTATGAATCGAATCAATTCAAATCAAAGAGACTTCTACCCACCACCAATTATGATTATGATTTTTATATTTCCAATAAAACTATAATGGGTAAAACAACACTTGTGGTCCCTTTTATTTTGGTTTGTTTGATTTTGGTCATCAATTTTAAAAGAATTTATTTTTGATCTCTTACATTTTCGGGTTATAATATTTTGATCACTAGAATGTTTATCTCCGTTAAATTTTTGGCATGACATGTAAATAAAATTGTTGATTTCTAATTTCGCCTCTTGAAATTTTGAAATTTAATTCTTCACCCCTTCTAAATAAAAAAGGTAAAAGTAAATTATTTTAATTAAAAAATCAATTTTCTTCTTCCTTGTGTATTACAACAACCCTCTTCCATCCCTGGTTGTCACTCACTCACCGTCTGGCCTCGTATATTCCAATAAGAATGATTAATTAATTAGTTAGTTTTTAACTGATAATTAATTATCTGTTAACTGATTAACTAAGCTATGATGTATTTGGTTTGTAATTGATAAAGCATTAAGGATGAGAAAATGGAATTTTCTTTAATCCTTTTTATTTTCAAGTTTCAAAGGTATTAGGGAATATGTTGTAATTTGAGGGTTAAAACATTTCCTTTTTAAACAAGTATTTTCAAGTAGGCAAACTTTTTGGACAATGTAGTGGGAAAATAAAAATTTTAATATAAGATGTTGAAAAAACTATTTCTTTAAATAGGATAAATGTTACAGTGTTATTACAAGTCACCAAAATTATCTGGGGAAATTTTCGGATATCTTCCCGTTGATATTGTAGCAAAGATCTCATTCAAGAAAATAATATTGGAGTGCATTATCCGGGCAAAATTGCCATTTTGAACTCTCGAGTTAACATAATTGTAGTGCTAATAAGTCGGCCATAAATTGGAGTTTGACAGAGTCAAAAAGACTCAAAACGGGGCACAGGAAGCTTCGTGGAAGAGCGGCGGCTCTGGGATAAGGTAATGCTTTTCTCTTTACAGTAACATCCCTACGTTACACCGGATGATTGCATGAGCTCAGCCAACGACGGACGGCCACGTCATGATGTTGTTCTCAAATTTCTTTGCAGGAGGATCAACATTGTTAACTATGGGCGGGTAACCCTGGTTAGTTGATAGTTAGAAAGACAACCCCGCACATATAAATGCTCTCACAGCTCCGTTGTTCTCCCATTTAGTGGATGACCAAATTGTCCGACTCATTCACTGTCTTCTTCCTCCACTCGTTTCAAGGTAAGGTTTCCTCTTTTTCTTCTTCTTTTTGTTTATTCCACCTGTAAACATAATCTCACTCTCTGCTGAAATAATGAAAACAGACAAAAAGTAAAAACAACTAGGATAACCATGGGTTAGTTTCATCCAACAAGAAACTCCCATGTGCATCCATGCCGTTCCCTTAATTCGACATGCTCAACCAGGGTCACTAAAATTTTGTTAAATACTATATGTAGAGAGTGAGATTAAGGAAACCGAAGCGACGGCAGGCGGGGCCGGGCACTCACTCTGTTCCCGGTTTTACGTCTTAAAAGCTGGTAAGTGGATTCTTTTAATTTTCTTTATCATTGATCAGAATTTTCACTGGATATAATTTGTACAATCAAGATCTGCTGAAATGTTAGAAACCTGTTAAGAACCCTCTGTTTGATTGGTCGGAAAACTTGATATCCACTACCTTGGAAGGTCTTCCTTTTTATAGCTGCACCAGATAAACTATTTGGTGATGTGGGGTTTTCTTTTTTGGTCTAAAATCAGATCACCATGGCCGCTCGGACAACTTCCCCTCTTGCAAATGTAGGTTTCACCTGCACAAATGAGGAGCTCTTTATCGGTCTCTACAAATTGACTGATGGATCTCCTCTGCCAAGCAATGTTATTGATATAAACCCTTACAAATATGAGCCCCAGAACTTACCAGGTAAGAGCTCTAACTCTATTTTCCCCTCTTTTCTGCTGAATTTTAGATAAATCCCTGGTTTCTTAGGAATCATTGGAATAAAAACTCATTTCTCTTTCTCAACCTTAATTCAGTTAAATCTTTCTTTCGTAGTTTTGTTATTAGTTGGTGGTGAATTATAGTGTAATACCCCAAATGTTATTTCATGTAAAATATGCATTGAAAAAGCCTTATGCATATTTATTTCTTAGGCACAACGCGAGTGCCATAACATCATGCATCATCGCATGTCAGCTATGATGCAAAAGGAACAGTCTTGTGGAGTTACAAGGCTCATCTTAATTACTTCATGCAGATGATTTTTGGTTCCTGAGTAGCTCAAAGGATAACACTGATATCAAACATGGCCTCTGGAAGACCAGAGAGGAGGCCCTTGATGTCTTCTCAAACTCTGATATTATTGGTTGGAGAACCACTCTTGAATACTACAATGGTCAAGTCCCTTACGAGCGTAAAACTAACTGGGTGATGCAAGTTTTCAGCACAACTCAGAAGGGGCTGTGTGATGAAAATGCGAAAAAGGTACTACCGAAACCGAAAGATCTACAAGCTTATTGTTTAACTCGTTTGTTCTATTTCAGTTATCAACTCAACCTGCCAGTCATTAGTCGGTTTGGTTGCTTGATATGCAGGAATCCATCTGCCTCTGTAGAGTTTTTCTTGTTCCCAGCAATGAAATACAACGGAATGTATCTAGTGCTCGAATCGACACTGAAAATCTTTTACCAGAACCTCCTGTTCTAGATGCTAACTGCAGTACAAGAATAGGTTCCTCGAGCAACTGTCAGGTATCTCAGTAACTGCATGTTTACTTTTTTTTTTGGTCAATTTGGACGATTGATTTCATTTCCTTTCTGGGATAAATTAGGACAAATAGATACAAGTCTTTCAAGTTGATGGCTTTTGACACCAAAGTATCAACTTGGACATTTGCTTTAACATTGAAACTATTATAGTCGCCTAAAATATCAGCAAGGTGCCCCTAAGACATGAAATATCTGCTTTGAGTAGGATTTAGCATTATCCTTCTTTATGGTTTAGATATACTTCTACTCTAGTTGGTCACAATGCAAATTCTTGTGCTACGGCTATGAAACCAGACTGGATAAGCAGCTCGTTAACATGAGGAATATTGGGAGATAATCTGAAGAGGATGAGTTTTTCTGATACCTGTCAACATCTTCCAATAATTAAATTTTGTTGTTGTTTTATGTCTATTTGAAGTGTAGCCATAATTTGTAGGTGAACGAGCATGATGAGACAGAAGTACTGGGTGCTGCAGAGAGACTTCCAGTTCCGGAGCATCAAGGAGAAAACATAGTTGAAATGGATTTTATCTCAGGAGATAAAATTAATTTCTTTTCAGTAGGTGACTTTCTTGAACTGAATGATCTTGACAACCCAGCATCTTCTTCGAGTTCAGACAATTCAAGCGCCGCAAGCATTTCATCGGATGATTGTTTCGACTCAATGGCTTTCTTGCACGACCTTGATCAGGACCAAGTTTTGGACCATAATGAGACAGGTAAAAAGCTTAATGTCTCTGCATCCAACACACTAGACGAGGTGGTTATAGTTCCGCCCACTTTAGGTATGCCAACTTTCTGATTTCCTCCATGCTCGTTGCTTTGTATCATATGAGACTTTTCTTTCATTATATAACATCAGACATTCTGAAAACTTTGTGACCAATTTTCCTCAGTTCCAAGGAAACGGAACATCATGAAAATTATTTTCTCTTGCTTTTCTGGTATTAGTTATAATGTGTGTATTTATCTTTGATTTCTTAGCAGGATCTCTAGTTAGTATTGAGGGCTGCAATTCGTGTAGAGATGAATTGTTTAAAACTACAGATTTTATGTCCAATTCAGCTTCTGGGGGTAGAAACCTTAACAACAAAGTCATAGAGCGTGCCAAAGGAAATCAAAGGGGTGAAGGTCCGTCATCATCTCGTGAATCATCATCATCCGACGATAGCTTTACGGCAAGAGAAGGTAGAAGGAAGAGAGGTAGAATGAAAGAACTTGGAAAGAAGTACTTATGCTTCATGCCATTTTAGATATAGTTCAGTTTTCACACGCATGACACAGCTTGTAAGATAGCATAACATGATTTGGTAGATAAATCATCTCACCAAGCCAGTGAATTACAATTCATCAGATTCGTGTGCAGATTGACTGTTATGTTATAGCCTTCTTCAAAGTCAGAGCTTAAACAAATGAATGAAATGTTTATTCAAGATTTTGAATAAGAATTTTAAGGTGATTCTTTTTTTTTTTGACTCTGTCACTCGAACAAATAATCTAGAATAATTCGAGATCTAATGTCAACTCAAATAACAAAACATGAAATTAGTGACATCATTTATCACAACGGCCACGTGCCTGCATAAGTTATTAATTCAGTCTCTAGTTTTTGGTTTAATCGTAAAGTTCAAAACTGGATGCTCCCTTTCTCCACCTCCATGTTATTGTTGGGTCCATCTGCCAAGAGTCTTCTCAATTTTGTAACTCTCAATCTCAACAATCGATGTCGTTATTGAACATGTTTTCAAAACGAGTATATGTCTAGTGTCTGTCATTCATATTCGATACGAATACAAGTTAAGATGATGACAAGATAGTAAGATTTTTCTTATGATTTAATTCTATTTTATATTTTTTTCTTAAATATAATGGGTATGCAAAACCAGAGAAGTCCTCTCTTATTCCTCTTGGGACTGTAGGGTTTTCAATACCTTGAAATTCTCTTGTTATTATCTGAATAGTTTGCTAGACTTTGTGGACAAGGACTAGTTTGCTCAATTGCTTGCATTGCTTTGGAACCTATGAAACTTGAATAAATGGATCTAAGAAGATACTCTGTAAAACGTCAGGGATGTACATGACAATTCAAGCAAAGAAACTCAAGCAGTGGAAGAAATTCAAGCAAAGAACTAATGAGGATTTCCTGGAAGCGACCATCGCATGGTTTCTTTAAAATAAACGTAGATGGCGCATGGATCGTGGAGACCAAGACTGTTGTTGTTGGTATTGTAGCTAGAGATCATCATGTCTTAGTTCTAATCGGTTGAACTGGTTGAAGCTCGGACATTCTTTGAAGGCATTTCTTGAACTGCTGAACTTAATTTTTTTTTTTTTAATCGAGTCGTATTTTTCAGACCTCTAACTGTACGTCTATCTTGACCCGACTGCATACTTTGCGGCGGGAAAATAAGGTGAAAAGAAGAAATAAGGAGGGGGGTAGAATAAATATATTAAATATCATTATAAGCGGTGAACAAAATAACCCCGACGCCTTGCCGGCCAAGTGGGACCCGCCCCCTTATGAATTTCCGTTACTTTCTCTCGTGTTATTGTCCGTTGGTTTCGTTGATTCACTTGGGAATAAGCAAATTACTAAACTAGCCCAATTAGATAAATTCCTGACTAGAAAAATGGAAATCATAAAATACAATCTGTCATTTACTTTAATAATGCATGATGCTACTGCAAAATTATTCATATCTACTTTAAAGCATTAATTAACATCTTTATTTGAATACGGAAAGAGGAGTCGAAACATACTTTAGTTAAACCAACATAAAATAAAGAGTAGGACATAAGGGATAATATTATATTCAGTTTTTAATTTTTACCGGCAGTCAGACAGTCAACAACCTTAAAATAAAACCGCCAGTGGTTTTGGAATCAAGCCGTAAAACAAGCGTTTCTTTCTCACTGTACCGCATGTTTAACGAGAAAGCACTCTTACGAATACGTGGCGTTCTCTTATTGGTCGGTTTCGATTCATAGCCCAATAAACAAATACCAGCCTCTCTCGGTTTTTCTCTCACTAAGGAAAAAACAGAGTTTTCAGTTCTTTTTAATTGTTTCGCTTTTCAAAAAACTGTGTTTTTTCTCTCCACAAAATTCCAATTTTTCTCCTCAGTTTCTCTCTCTTTTGCTTACGAAAACACCCTATACGTTTTCATCGATGCATGATCTTCCGATCCAATGCAATTTTAACCCTTAACGCTTCCGAATTCCCATCGAGTTTTACCCCAGCTTGATTTTGACTCACTGAGTTGGTTTGGAGGGGAATTATGTTGGAGACAATGGAGAGTTCCGTCAATGGCGGTGGTTTCACACAGTTACAGAACTGTGGAGACAGTAGTGAAGAGGAACTCTCTGTGTTGCCACGTCACACCAAGGTGGTTGTCACTGGAAATAACCGTACCAAATCGGTTCTCGTTGGTCTTCAAGGCGTGGTCAAGAAGGCTGTTGGGCTTGGCGGGTGGCATTGGCTGGTAATTCTTTTTAATTCTTTAGTTTTGATGGAAATGGGGTTTGGGATTTTTCTTTTCTTTTCTGGCAATTGTTTTGCTCCCTATTCTTTTTCTTTTATAATGTGGGCATTTTCTTCAAGTGAAATCAAATGTGATTTTTAAGGTAAGGTGGATTCATTTTGAGCTATTATCAAGTAAACGTTTTTGTAAACTTCATGTATTTTTATTATTCCTTTTTGTGATTTTGCATTGTTTTTTTTCTATCTGATACAATTGCATGTGTTGTAATATAAGATTTAATTTTGAATAAAACTGCAAATTTAGCTTTTTAATGTCTGATTTTGCTTGAATTTTGACACGCTCTAATAAAGAAATGGTTTTGTTATTGGTCTCAAGTTGCAAAGTTGAGGTTTTGGATTTGGGGTTTATTTGCATGCAAGTTTCTGTAACTGGATCTGGTAATTTGAAGTGTTTTAGCTTGCATTTCTACAATGAATCTTAATTTTGTGTGGTTTATTTTTTATTATTATTTTACTTGGTTTTTAGAATCTTCTCCAAAGCATTGATGTTTCGATTTTTAAATTAAATTTATTAGCTGATCATCTTTACATTGGTATTGATTTTTTTCTATTACAAGAACTGGGTATTCTTGGGATCTCTTTGAACTTGGTTTGGGAGTGTTTAAGAAACCCATAATTTATATTCTGAATTGTGATCTTGGTTCTGCTTCTCTTGAGCTATTCAGAATTTGCCTCCCTTTATGTTCTTTCTTCTTTGCAGTTTTTGTAACTTCTATCTGTGAATTGCATGATTGAATTCATAGCTTTGCTGGTAATGATCATATTTTGATTCAACTACAACTGTTTCCACCTGTTTCTGTGCTGAAAAGAGCTGCTTCCCCCCCCCCCCAATTAATGTCATTGTTGATTTACTTTGACAAATCCGAAGGTTTCTCATTAAGCTATATGAGTTGTAGACATATGTGCTGGATTTATGTTATTTTTTTAAAAGATTCTAGGTGAGCTAGTGGATTGAAATACAAAATTGACAATTTTAAGCCTAACAGACTATTCTAGGTGAGTTTTCTAATTTATTTTGGTTTGGTAGTTTCCCAAATTTGTTATATAATTGATTTGTTAGAAATTGTAGTAGCGTTTTTCATTTATCTTCCCTGCCTATTATTTCTTGCCAAATATCAAACTTATCGATTATATTAATCATATACTTTGTAGTAGATGGTGATATTTGTTTGTCCAACTAATGAAATCACAGGTTCTTACAAATGGCATAGAAGTAAAGCTACAGAGAAATGCCCTGAGTGTGATAGAAGCTCCCACTGGCAATGAAGCTGATGATGACCTTGAATTTGGAAACATGCAGTGCAATGGATCAGACGTGGGTGAGCTCTCTCTTCCTCTTCATTTCAAATTTTGCATACTCCTCACAATTTTTTTTGAAGGTCGAATTCCTACACCCATTAGATCGGAAAACAATATTCTACAGAGGGTTAATCATCAGTAGAAAAAGATGTTTTCTTTACTTGTGCTGACTTTGGGGTATCATTTTTTTCTGGTGAAATGCTATGCCTTGGAAGGGGAGTTCTATGGTGCTTAATGATTCTTGATCTCTAATGATACTTAGTTGTGATTAACTATTCCGATACTTAATGCTTTTGATATAGTGATTTGGATGATAATATTCTCTGTTGAAAAGTAGTTGAGGTTGGTGCATAGGATCCATTGTGTCTTCACCTTTAACTTTCACTAATTCTAAAAGCTCCATTGTCGCATTTCTTTATCTTTTTATCGGTCCCACCGTCTTTTCTTTTCTTAATCCCGCTTGTTCCATCTCTCAATCCCCAGCATCTGATGAAACTCAAAAGTCCCATAGATCGAGGCATAGATCGCATAAATCAACGGGGTCTTCTCACAAGACTATGAGCAGGTCTCTTTCTTGTGACTCACAGTATAAGAGTTCTGTTTCCACACTGCGCGGGTCCACGGTACATGATTTTTAAAACTTATTTTTTTTCTTGTGTAGTTTTTGATATCACATGTCACCAACAAAGATGTATTGCAAAATCTGTTAGCTATATATTTTTGCCTAATTAAGGTTTATTCTCCTCTATAGAAAGTTGACCTCAGCAAACTTGAGATGGCTGCTCTATGGAGATATTGGCGACACTTCAATCTTGTAAGTTCCTCCAACTGAAACATTAAATAGAAATAGAATTACCAGCACAGGCACGGCCTTGAGCGCGTGTATAACTGAAGAAAAAAGAGTTTAAACGTCATTGCTTTTGCTATTTCTAGGTGGATGCCACTCCCAATCCCTCGAAGGAGCAACTAATTGATGTCGTTCAGAGGCATTTTGTGTCACAGGTAACTTAACTATGATAGCCCACTTTGATTTTTTTCCTTCTTTGTCTTCTTAGGTTGCAACACCAACTTTGTTTAACTGGTTGTAATCCCTTCCATTGGTATAGCAAATGGATGAGCTGCAGGTGATCGTGGGATTTGTTCAGGCTGCAAAGCGTTTGAAGACCGTTTGCAAATGACATGGAGGAGAATGATCAGACCAGCTTTTGAGTTCGGTTGCCAACGTGTCAACACTAACAGATACTCGGTATCCTAATGTTCCTCTTCCCCCGTACTCGGTAGTGATGTCAATAACATATGTATTTGCGGATCGTTCATCCTTGTGGTCCTTCTTGGTAGTATGTTATTTGGAGCTATAGAGGTTGAGTTCCATTTTGGTATAGTTAATGTATATATAATCCAAAACCTTGGCTACGTGACCTCTAAGAAGTCCCTCCGTGGGCATCCTTTTCTAAAGCTTTGCTTGAATGAACTTCTGACTTGGGGAAGTGGATTTCTTGAAATGTATATATTCTTATTTATAGCCACTGCCTGCATCTTTTCTTTATATAATTTTTCTTTTTAAAAAATAAAGTTTAATTTAATATTTGATAAAACAACAACAACAACAACAACAACAAAACCCAATTCCCATATGTATGGGGTAAGGGGGAGGTAGGGTAGTAGGCTGCCCCCAACGCCAGGTTGAGAATAGCTTCCGTGAAAGACCTCCGGCAGTCAGAAAATTAAAAATATAGATAAAATGCAATGCATGTATAAATAATTACATAAATACATAGCTAAACAGTATTCATATGCAGTCATTAATATCATATGTGCTTCTGTAATGGGGAGTAATCCCTGCAAAATAATCCCTGCGAAAGAGTCTCTGCATATAGACAGAAACCTAAGACCCGGCTAAAATTAACAGAGGAAACATGATGAGAATGATACACATGAGACAACCATAGCAAGCCCAGTTCTAATATTTCATAAATACCAATAACAGAAAAGTATAAAAAGTAAAAGTCAAGGAAATAACTACAAATGCATTTAAAAGAAGACAAAGATGATACACCCTATAGATGTGACTCACACTACTCGACTACCCTAGTCTTAAGCCTCCATAATTTCCTATCATAGGTCATGTCTTCGGTAAGGCCTAAATCCCTCAAATCAGATCTCAAGCAGTCATCCCACTTCCGCCTTGGTCGTCCTTTCCTTCTGGCACCGTCGACTGTAATCGACTCTACCCTCCTGACCGCATCCGACGGTAGTCGCCTAAGGACGTGTCCAAACCATCGTAGTCTTCCCTCCCTCATTTTTTCGGAAACAGACATCACCCCTAAGGACATCCTAATAGCAGAGTTTGTCGTCATATCCCACAGAGTCCTACCACATGTCCATCGAAGCATTCTCATTTCTGCGGCCTCTATCCTCCTAACGTGATCCTTCTTGGGTGCCCAACATTCTGATCCATACAACAGCGCTGGTCTTATTACCATTCTATAAAATTTTCCCTTAAGTTTTAGAGGCACCTTCTTGTCACACAAAACTCCAGTAGCAGCCCTCCACTTTAGCCATCCCGCATTTATACGGTGTGTAACGTCATCATCTACACCCCCATCTTTATGTATCATAGACCCTAAGTACTTGAAACAATCCTTTGAGGGAAGAACGTGTCCTTCTATGCATACTTCTACATTTTCATCATTTTGGTTCCCACTGAAGTTTGAACATAAATACTCTGTCTTTCAATATTGATCCTTAAACCTTTTTCTTCCAAAGCAGTCTTCCAGGTAGCCAGTCTGCTATTCAACTCAGATTTTGTTTCAGCCACTAAGACAATGTCGTCAGCGAAAAGCATACACCAAGGTACACCGTCTGGTGTCGCACAATAGATGTCGTCCATAATCAAGGCGAAGATGTAAGGGCTAAGAGCCGACCCCTGGTGGAGTCCGATTTCCACCGGGAATGCCTCGGTGTCGCCAACTGTAGTCCTGACGTAAGTAGTAGATCTACAGTACATATCACGAATCGTCCGGATATAAGCAGTTGGTATCCGTCTCGTTTCCAAAGTCTTCCAGATCGTATCGCGAGGAACGCTATCATAAGCCTTCTCAAGGTCAATGAACGCCATGTGGAGATCTCTAGACTTTTCCCTATATTTCTCCATAAGCCGTCGAAGTAGATGAATCGCCTCCGTGGTAGACCTGTTTGGCATAAAGCCAAATTGGTTTTCCGAAACCCTAGTGACTTGTCTCAACCTAGCCTCTATCACCCTTTCCCATAGCTTCATGGTATGGCTGAGTAGTTTAATACCTCTGTAGTTACCACAACGTTGGGGATCTCCTTTATTTTTATAAATTGGTATCACCGTAGACTCTCTCCACTCCTCTGGCATCTTGGCAGTCTCTAAAATAATATTAAAGATGTTGGTCAACCACTTAACTCCCTCATCTCCTAAGGCTAACCACACAGTGATAGGAATTTGATCGGGACCGACAGCTTTCTCCCTTCCCATCTTTCTAAGAGCCATTTTGACTTCCTCAAACATAATCCTACTTGTAGGGCAGTCATTGGCCGTAGTATGATGGTCGGCTGACCCAACAACGATATTATCTCTACATGGAGAGGCACCGTCATTAAATAAGCCAAAGAAGTAACTACCCCAAACCCTCTTAATATCCTGTTCTTTCGTTAAAAGAACACCATTGTTGTCCTTAATAAACCTAATGTTACCTAGATCTTTTTTTCCTAGTCTCCCTAGATTTTGCAAGTCTGAATATGCCATTTTGTCCTTCCTTAGTGTCTAATCTCTTGTACATTTCCTCATATGCCTTATCCTTTGCTTTAGCTACCGTTTTCTTGGCTTCCCGCTTTGCCTCCTGGTATCTTTGTTTAGCTCCCGACCTTTCTTCGTCGTCATTGCATTGATAGAGGTTGGTGCCCTCTAGCTTTCAGAATGCACCATGTTTATTCGGTTTCCATTTTAGCTTTACACCGATGTCATATTCATGGCTGCATTTAGTCCTAATCTGTAAGATATCAGTATCAAGTTGGGACCCTGCCACTGTCCATTTGATTACGGGCGAAAAATAGGGTCAGCAAGATTTGAAGAATTTATTTTTTCGGCTGAGTCGAAAAAACTCGATTCAAATTGATTTTGAGTTGTAATTTTAAAGATTCGATTTGAAAATTTTTTTAAGTTCAAATCGAGTTATAAAATACAGCTCGAATAACACGAAATTTTTAATAATTAATAGATTGGTTTTTAAGTTTGAGTCGAGTCTCTCTACTCTATATGATTTATATATATCACATATAAAAAAATATGAAGAAATATATATGTATTGTATATTGTTATAAAAAAAATCATTTAAATTGAAATCAAATAGTATCATAATATTATAAATATTTATAATTAAATTTAAACATAAACTCGAAAACTTGACTTATCTCGACTCGAAATTTATAAACTTGATTTTGAGTTGAAAAAATTTCACATCAAGTTCGAGTTATAAAATAACATTTGTCAACTCGAATAACTCGAAATGTTTTTACTCGACTCGATCAAAAGCTCACACTTAAAAAATAACTCCAAAATTTGAGATAAAGAAAAAGGAAATTATAAATATCGAAATTTAGTTTCCAAACTTACTAAATATCGTTATCTTAAAGGCTATTTATGGATCATTGGTTAATTTAGGTTTTAGTTAAGGAATGTCGATGTGACAATTATTGCAATATTTAAGAGTTTATAAGTTGATTTCAGGGTTAAATTCATCACTGCCCCTGAAGCATTTTATTTGTATTGATTTATTTCTAGAATATTTTTGGAGATATTTTATCTTCTGAAGTTTAAATTATTATCTCATTTGACTCAAAACTGTGAACTCCGTTAAAATTACAAGGGTAAATTATATATTTACTCACTCAAACATTTATACAATTCTATTTTACTCACTCAGTTGGTAGAGCACAATGTTCTTAACCTTGAGGTCGTGGGATCGAGTCTCATGGAGGGCATTTCATAATTTGGAGGTCTCCTACGGAAGTTGCTCTCAACCTAGTGTTGGGGCAGCCTACTATCTTACCTCCCTCTTACCCCATTACATATGGGAACAAGGGACATCCATATTTTGGTTACATAACTATTTTTTTTCAAAATCATCACTAAACTTAAGTTTTTGTTTCATTTGGCTACTTAAATTTATTCGATTTATTTTTAAATTTGTAATACATAAGAATTTATTTATATCACATATTTTTCTTACTCGGGCTTTCAAGCATCCGCGAGACGAGTGGTGTCGCATGTGGTGGCTACTGCACTGGATAATGGAGGGTATGCTAAGGCTGAGATGGCGGTTTCGAGAAGAAATGAGACGACTCAAGTTCTGGTCAATTGCTGGAGGACATTGAACCGAAATTCTTGTCAAGCATTTCTAGAGAATGCAACAGCAGAAATGTTAAGGTGCTTGCCATGGTCAGAAGGACAGATAGTCTACATTGGCTGCTACTTGAGATGCTCAAATATTGATTTTCTCAATAAACAACCCGCAAAAGGAAGTTCAAGTGGATTTAATCTAAAACTATCTTGACCCAACTCCGAGAATTTTAATTAAAAAGATTATGTTCGACATGAACTGGATTTTCAAATAAAACCCATATTGTAAGATCGGATCATAACTCAATAGGTTCGAGTAAATCGTAGTCATGATTTTGCAGGGACCGTTATGCCTCGTATATCTATTTTTGATCAAAATGTTAACTTTGCATACTTTGATCGAAAATATTTTTAAGTATTTAGATGGAAAAAGATGATATTCTTTAAATATTTATCTGTAATATAAATCTATTTCAAAATTAATTTAGGGTTTAAGATTCTCGAAGAGACTAAAAAATCACAATTGTTATAGGTTTCAAATACCCAAATCAATTATAGCTTTTGTTTTAGGTTTCAAATAATATAAAAAAGAGAATTAAATTGATTTGAGTTAAAATGAAATTTTTAGATGAGAGAATTAGGATAAATTATTAATAAAATAAAATAGGCAAGAATCCGATGTAATGGTCCAGCATCTTGAATCATAGTCGTCAGATGGAGACCTATTTTGGTTCATTACAGCTACGAATAGGATAAAGTAGGATAGGTTTTCTCTCAACTCTAAACTGCAGCAATCACTAACACCCAATTGGAAATGGGTAAGCAAAGCATCAGTTTGTGCATTGCAGTGGTATCCTTTACTGTTTATTTCTCAATTAGCATATTTTACCTATATTAGTAACCATGAAATGACCCCATGCCTCAACCTATTTCTAACATCATATTATTATTATTCATAACTTAATCATCACAAGCGTATATAGAACCAGAGACTAAGGGAGCAAATACCTTACCTAATCCATCAGACTTTAATATACAAAAAAAAAAAAGATTTATTTAACACGAGATGGGAAAGACACAGGAAAATGGGATTCGTAGATGTCAAAACGAACATTCTTCCTCTAACATGTACTATGCTAAGACTTATTTCAAAAGAAAGGA